AGTTAGGAATTACATTGGAAGGTTTGGAGGACTGCCAGAACAGCTGTCATGGTCTCACAATCGAGAGGAATGGGTGGATGGATTTCCTACGAACACTAAAACAGGAATTATTTAAACGTAAAAAGGAATAAAGACCTGGAGCATGCTTTTGTTCTTCCATGTCTGTGTTTGGGTTGAGGTTTTATTTACTATTTAAAGAGGCTCATTTTGAAGATGGAGATACCTCCTTGAGAGCGTCATCGACCCTAGAGAGCTTAGAGGGGTCAGAGTGGGACTCTGAGAGGTGATGCTAGGGGGCTGGCACCCCGTTTCCAAGCTGTTACCCTAGTTGATCAGAGGAAAGACCAAAACTGAATTCGCATGCAAAAACTCAGCTTAGGAAGAAAAGCATGCTGCTATTGATTGAATTGAATTGTGTCCCCCCAAAGGATATTTGGAATTCAGTCCTCTCCTGGTGCCTGTGAATGTGACATTGCTTAGAAATAGGATCTCTGAGAGCTGTAACCAATAAAGTTATCATGGAGTCATGCTGGAGTCGGGTGGGTCTCTTACTGTCTGCATCTTATACAAGAGAACAGACACACACAGAGGGGAGGTGGCCAGGCAGAGACAGAAGGAAGGCAGAGCTGCACACCAAGGAACAGCAGGAAGCAGCAGAAGCTGTAAGAGGCTTCAGAGAGAGTGGCCCTGCTGACAGCTTGACTTGTGTCTTCTAACCCCCAGAACAAACTTTACTTTGACAGCCCTAGGAAAAGGATGCAAAGACTATAGAGGGCAGGCCTTTGCCCTGGATGCTGATGAGGTAATTCCTTCTGAGACCTTGAGGCGGAGTCTCATCCACGCCCTTCTCAGAGCCTCTGGTGGTGCCAGCCATCCCCTGGTTTGCAGGAGCAGGGTGGCGGGTCTGTTTGTGTCTCTGCTCCTCTTTGATAAAGACCCTACTTAGATGGGATTAGGACCCATCCTACTCCACTATGACCTGTCAACTCGACAGATAATATCTTCAGAGGTCCCATTTCCAAACAAGGTGACATTCACATATATATCCAGAAAGTCTTCTGCATAGGTTTAAATTCACAGAACCCGAACCCGATGTCTGTCCACACTCGCACTGCAAAGCCTTTGCCCACAACTGTATTCTTGTGACCTGAAACTCTTCAACTCAGCTCAAGCCAGGAAAGGAGCTGAAGCCTAGCAAAATCCAAGTACAAGTATTTTGAGGCAAACCCATCATTTATTCAGTTACTCCTACATCTATCTATCTATCTATCTATCTATCTATCTATCCATCCATGAGAGGTTTTGGAAAGACACAAGGTAGAATTTTGTTTAAAACAGCATTTTATAGACTTTCCACATAGCTTCTTCAGCTGTTGTAAAACTGATACTACTACCCACAACCCCAGAATATGCACACAGATTTCTTTTCTGTTGAAAATTCACTCGCTCATTCCCTGTCTAAAGGCAAAGGGTATCCATCCACATCTTCCTGGTTATCCTTCTGTTATCACAATGACGGTCTTATGTAGCTTTTGTATTAATATCCAAAGAGGGACGGGAAGGGACTGGAAGACTGAGGGTGAGAGGGGAAGGTGCATGAAGCTGCGGAGTGGGAGGGAGGAGGAAAATAACTAACAAAACAACAATCCAACCTTAACCCCAACAATGCATATTCATGAACACAATGTAAACAAATTATTGTATGCAAATTAATAATGAAAATTTCAAAAAATATCCATCCATATGTTGATATACTGAAGAAATCAAGTCCCAGAGTCTGGCAAAAGGAAGGAAGGAAGGAAGGAAGGAAGGAAGGAAGGAAGGAAGGAAGGAAGGAAGGAAGGAAAAGAGAAAGAAAGAGAGAGAGAGAGAAAGAGAAAGAGAGAGAGAGAAAGAGAGAGAGAGAGAAAGAGAGAAAGAGAAAGAGAGAAAGAAAGAAAAAGAAAGAAGAGGGAGAGAGGGAGGTCACCAGCTGCTTCTCGAGAGGATGGGAAGTCTCCTCTCACGTGATTAACTGTTTCTGAAAACCCACTAAAGACTCAGCTATGGGTCAGTTCTGACTCTATGGTCCACAAGAACAATAACAATTGTATATACTATATATTGTATATTATATATAAGATATAATTATATATAATATATAGAGAGATATAAATGCATCACAGCACTCCTTATAATTCTTAGTCTATTTTTATTGTATGGTGTTTTTTAATCTGAATAGTCACAGATACTAGGTTATCACAAATCATGACTTCAGTTGCCATAGTACTTTCTATTTTAAAGAAATAAATGCAACACTGTCTTTACAAAAACATTTTTCTCCAAGGAATTAGTAAACACATGATATACTGCATATCCCTGTGGGATCCACTTGATAGAGGGCTTCTGGGGGAAGCCAGGAATTTCATAATCTCGCTGGTTGTTTTCTGTTCCATCTGTCACCATTGTCATTTCACTCCCTTGGGAACTGTGACTACTATTTCTACAACTGATCAGTTACATGGAAAAACAAAGTCTCAAGCTCATTGACATTGACTCAGAACGGCTTCACAGCTCACCCCTGTCTTCCTCCCGCTGCACAGAGCCCCCTCAGCCACAGTCAGTACTCCAAAAGATGCTTGTAACAAGAACGAGGGTACAGGTGCGAAACCAGGGAGGGGTTAGAGAGACTGGGGTGCTGATCCTTGACCGGGACTCTTTTCTTTATTCACCTTGTCTGGCCAAGGCCGAACTGCACCCCCCGTCCCCAATCTGTGTCTCTTTGTCCAGCCTGGTGCCAGCCTGGTGCCTCTGCTTTGAGTACCCCACTGAGCTCCACTAGGTGGCTAGGGTGAAGGTGGTGGGCAGTGGTGACCTTCAGTACACACTATGATGACCTGGACCGGTGCCCTTGGCCTCCAACGTCGCACTTCCGTGACGTGAGTTTGGAAGTTCTCTGCGAAAGAGAGGAAGAGTCTCACCAAGATGGGGTGAATACACAGTGACTGCAGCAATGTGTCAGACATTAGGAGAATGGCACGGGACAGACCAGGGCTCAGGTCTGTTCATACGGTCACTATGAGTCATAACTGACTCACAGGCACCTAGGACTACTGCCACCCTCTGCCTATGCCTCAATGGCATCATCCAGTACGCAGCATCTTCCTTTCCTCCCGCCTTTTCTTGTTCGTCAAGGGCGGGAATAGTCCACCTCCCACATCCAGACACAGGCAATCAGGGAAGGTCCCAGGCACCCTGTGGTTTGGTTACTCTCCGTCTGAGTGGCTGGTGAGGAAGTTTCTCTCTTCAGTAATCATTCTGCTTACAGGTGTGGTCCCTTACCAGCAGTGCAAAGGGACAGATGGACCCCAGCAGGAAAGGAAGCATTCAACCACACCAAAGGGCTCTATATCACGATGAATGAGACCAGGGGGCAGAGCTGAGCAGTGCTGAGACAACCGCTCTGGGCTGCCTTTGGAGGCTGTGGCCCCAACGCAGGCCGCGCTCCCAGGCAAGCACGTCTGGTTTAGAGAAGCTCTAGGAACCGTGTGAGGAGAGTGAGCGAGGCAAGGGATCCCCGGGGCGCGAATGAGCGCATGGAGGGGCCTTTGAGAAAGAACAGACATAACTGGCAGGAACGTTCCCAATGTCTACTCTGGAGTCTTCACGTGCAGTGGCTGCCGTGACAAATAAGTGTAATTAAGAAACAAACAAAAGAAACTTATTCTCCCAGATTTCTGGAAGCCAGAAGTCCCAAACTGGGACGGGGGTAGAGCCACACCCCCTCTGGAAGCTCTAGAGAAAAAGCCCTCGTTGCCTCGTCAGTTTCTAGGGACTTCTGGCATTTCTTGCTTTCCGGCTACAAAGCTCCAGTCTTTGCCCTGCATTTTCACATGGACTTTTCTTCCGTGTGTCTCAAAGCCCTTGTTTTCTTTTTTCTTTTTATTTTATTCGTGTGTGTGTGTGTGTGTGTGTGTGTGTGTGTGTACACTGTCAAATCCTTCTCCAGCAGAGCGTCTGGTGGATTCAAACCACACACCTCTGGTACTGCAATGCAGCTTCTTGCCACTAGGCCACCAGAAGCCCTTGCTTTCTGGTAAAGGTCACTTATCACTGGATTTAAGGTCCAACACTTCGATCTCATCTTGAGATCCTTAACTTCTTTACATCTGCACAGGTTATTTTTTTTTTCCTTTTCCTAAATGAAGTCACATTCCAGGTCCCAGGACTTGAACATCTCTTTTTCTTTTTCTTTTTTTTCTTTTCTGGGTATAGACAGCAAAGTTTATTTGGTTACTACTGCTAGCAAGTATCATCCAAGAGACACAAGCTGGGAAAGGGACTATGCTGGCCAAGAAGGCTCTCAGGGACAGTCTCACACACAGGAGAGGGCACGGGGCTCTGGGGACACGGGAAGGGCTGCCCTCAGACATTCAGGACCGCAGGGACGAGCTCTTCATGGCTTATACATCCACTGCTGTCCTCATGCCCTGCCACCAGCATCTCTACTTCTTCCTCTGTCATCTTCTCCCGCGTGACAAGGACATGCTGGATTTCAGCGCCCATGACAGTACATTCCCTTCCTTGTCAAACCCCGGAAGGCCTTCAGCATAGTCCTCGTAGGTGCCCTGCTCCTTGTTCTTGGCCGCAGTCTGCAGCGTGTGCAGGAAGTGCTCAGAATCCAGCACCTTCACATTCAGTTCAGCACCGTTGGGGTTTCCCAGGACCTTGAGCACCTCGGAGTCCGTGGGGTTCTCATTCCATCTCCACACTGGCTGGCCAGGAGCTTTCCATCACCTGTTCAGTCAAACAGCTGGAAGGCCTCCTTAATTCTGCGGTCTCATCCTCGGTGAAGTCACAGATCTTAGTGCTCAGAGACTGGGACCTTCTCCTACAGGACTGACCGAACATATCTTCTTCCAGGCACCAATCACCTCAGTGCGTGTGGGTGTTGTGATAAGAATCCCTTTCACATTTGCTATAGAATCATTCAGTAAAGGACTCAGCACTAACAGTTGTGCATGGAAGTAGATTCTCTTCTGGAACAAGATGAAGAGAAGAACGTGCATCCAGCTTTGTTCAGGACGGAAGTAAGAGTCACAGGAAAGGCTCACACTTCGGTAGCACTAACAGACACATGGCTCTCATGCTGATGTTAGTGAAAGAATTCTCTTCATAAGGAGACTAGGACCTGAGGTGTGCGTATAAGGTGTCCCCCACACCTTGACCATGATAATAAATATTACAGCAATCCCCCTCTACTTTTGGCAGAAAGCACAAGCCCAACCAAGGTGGGGAGGCCTCAGTGTGTCTCTGAACCCCCTAGAAAAGCCAAGACTCCCCTTTTTGTGTGATAAACTTGCTGGATCTCATCTCTTAACTCTGCATCTCTGCCCTTCAGTTTCCTTGGAAGATGACCCAGACTGTGACAACCTTTCTTTGAAAACCAAACAGCTGGCTATTTCCAGACGCTCAAGTAAATATGTTCTTGACATTCTCTCGTGTTTTCTAGAGTATTATGAAACAAAATATGATAGGAGATATGCCATCCAAGTCCTTTCTTCATTCCTCTGTCCTGACACACATGGGCTCTGCTCTCGTTGCCCCATTAGGTGTCAATTCTTCTCAAGGACTTCAGGGGAAATAGGCCTTTTCTTTAGGTTGAAAGGTGTCTGTCTTTTCCCCAGTAGGGGTCTGAAATGCAGGTCTTATCGAAACTATACCTCTTCTAACACATTCACGTTGTTGTTACTGTGTACCGTCTGGTTGGAAACAACTCATAGCTGACCCTCCAGCAGGTTTTCAGAGGCAGTAATTGCATGGGGGGAGATTGTCCATCTCTGTCCCATGGACCAGTGGGTGGATTTGAATCACCCACCTTTAGGTTAAGCAGCACAACCCCTTATCACTAAGCCAGTCAAGCGAATAACAGTTCCTCAAAAGTATTCCTATCTTAATCCCCCACAGCTGAACATATGTTAGAATACTGAGCACAAAAGACTCTGTAGTTGCAGTTCAGTTTAAGATCCGGAACTGGAGAGACTATTCAAGGTTATCTGTGTGGGCTCTAAATGCCCTCCCAAGGGCGCCTACAAATGAACGAGGAAGAGATATGAAGACAGAAGCAGTGGAATGCAGTGATGCAGAGATTTTGGCCAGAAGTCAAAATTGCGGTTTCAAAGCAGCTTGAAAATGTGAGAGAAAGAATAAAAAGGAGGCTCAACAAGATCTGACCACATTTCCCTGAGACCAATAGAGGGAGCCAAGTCAGAATCCCATTCCTCAGTGAAACAAACCAATCTGCTTCAAGCCAGCGCCCACTGGACTCCTCTGCACTAAATCGAGGACCTGATTGCCAATCGACAAAGGTCTTCCCAAGAACAAATGTAAACCTCTGTAGACAGCCAGTGAATGGTTAGACCAAAGGATGGTACAGTAACCTTGAGCTTCAGAGTCAGTTAGGTCTCTGTTCTGCCACTAATGAGTACTGTGGTGGTGGCATTTGGTGGCTTCAAGTCCATCCTAACTCAGAGCCATTCTATGCACAACAGAAGCGTTACTGGCTCCCCACCATCCTCATAATCATTGTTATGTTTGAGACCATTGTCACGGCCACTGTGTCAATCCGTGGTTTTTGCGGGAGCTTTCTCTTTATTTCTAGCCTTTTCATTTACCACCCTCATGTCTTCCTCTAGGGACCGGCTTCTCCTGATAAGCACATCCGAAGGACGGGAGACAGATTCTCATCTTCCTTGCTTCTAAGGAGCATTCTGATTGCATGTCTTCCAGGACAAATCTTGTTTGCTCTCCTGGCAGTCTTCAGTGTATTCAATATTTCTCACCAATACCATAATTCAAAGGCATCACTTCTTCAATCTTCTTCGTTGTTCAGCGTTTACATTCGTACAAAGCCACGGAAAATATCATCTAACCAGTGCACAACATTAAAGGGAAGAAACATCTAGCTGTACTTTCTGCCAGTCCATCGGCCACCAGGGTGAAGAAGTCAGATATGGGTGGCCAGGGAGTCCATTTCTCTTTTCCCAGCTCATTTTTATCTTGCTGAAAGTCCCACCAATAGGTCAAATGAGACAACTCTCCAAGACAAAAGAGGACTGTTCATCAATCAACAGGGAAAATGGCTTTAGATGGCCACTTAACCTCCCTGAACCTTGGTTTTCTATTTATATAATGAGAATAATCCTTTATCTTGCAGGCCTGTTGTGAGGCAAAATGAGAAAGTATATACAGGTTTCACATCTAAGTGGTGTCATTTATAGTCAGCTCTTACGTTTAAAGATCTCCTGGGGATTCATTGATCATTTATCACTTGAAACACATGCTGCCACTCTGAAGAAAAGGTGTCTTTCCTGAATTCAGCAAACAGAGTGAACTTGTTGAGTAGCTGTTGTCAGCAGGTAGTATGAACTGGTAGCCACAGGATCTATCATCTGAGGTAGAAGCTACTATGTGGTGGCTGTTATATGCCATTGAGTTGATTGTGAGTCATAGTGATCCTACAGTTACAATAACTCTAAACCCTGTCCTACCCTGAGCCAGTCTCACTGTCTCTAACACACTTATTCCCATTGTTACTGTGTCAGCCCATCTCATCCAGGGTCTTCTCCCACACTGGCCCTCCACCCAACCAAGCATGATATCCTTCTCCAAGAACTGATCCCTGCTGGAAATATGCTCAAAGTATGTGAGACAGAGTTTCAATATCCTTGCCTCCAAGGAACAGACTGGTTTCACCCTCTCCAGGACAGACTTGTTTGCTCTCTTGGCAGTCCATGGTATATTCAATACTCTTCTCCAACACCACAGCTCAAAGGCATCAATTCTCCTTCTATCATCCCTAGCCATTGTCCAGCTTTCTGATGCATAGCAAGTAATGGCAAAGACCATGGCCTGTATCAGGCGCACCTTAGTCTCCAGACTGACATCATTGCTTCTCAGTACTCATCAGAGGTCCCTGACAGCCAACTTTCTCAATGCAATTCATCTTTTGATTTCCTGGTTGCTGCTACCAAGAGTGTTGATTGTGGAGCTAAGTAAGGTGAAACTATTAACAATCTCAATCTCTTCTCCGTCTATCATGATGCTGTCTATTGGGCCAGTAGCAAGAATCTTTGTCTTCTTGATGTTACGCTTCAATCCGTATTGAAGGCTGCAGTCCTAGATCTTCTTCAGCAAATGCCTCACGTCCTCCTCAGTTTCATCCAGCAGGGTTGTGTCATCTGCATAGTGCAGGTTGTTGATGAGTCTTCCTCCAATCCTGATGCCACATTCATCCTCATAATGTCCAGTCTCCTGAATAATCTGTTTCAAATATAAATTGAAAAGGTATGGATATAGGAGCTTGGGGAAACTAAGAAAAGAGGGTATAAATGATGTACATGGCATTGAAAGAGATGAGGGAGAGAAGTGTATGAAAGGAATATATGATTAGGTATTATTGGCATGACAAGAGTCCAGAATAAGAGTTGTATAGTAAAGTGGCCAGGGAGAAGGACTTATAACAATAAAAGAACTTTTTTCCAAAGAAAAAAGTTAATTGGGGGGGGGGAGGGTCAGGGAGAAAAATGTGCAACAATGAATGGAAATCCAAGTTCTTTATAAATTTTCATTAAAATCTAGGAAAAAAAGAGAGAGAAAATAAAATAAAAAGAAAGAAAGAAAAGGTATGGAGATAGGATGCATTCCTAATGTGCACCTTTTCTGATTTTGAACCATGCAGTGTTTCCTTGCTCTGCTCTGACGAATGCTTCCTGGTCAAGTATTGTTGTTGTGTACCATAGAGAGTGGGAAGTGACGCATAGCTGACCCTCTGGCGGGTTTTAAGAGGCAATTAATTGCACAGGAGGAGATTGCTCATCCTTCTCCCGCGGAGCAGCTAGTGGCCTCGAACTGCATGCCTTTGGGATTGCAGCTCAGCTTCTTGCCACTCGGCCACCAAGTATAAGTCTCACATAAGCACAATCATTTGTTCTGAGATTCCCATTTTTCACAAGGTTTGCCACAATTTGTTGTGATCCACACAGTCAAATGACTTTGTATAGTCAATGAAACACAGATAAACATTTTTCTAGTACTCTCTGCTTTCAGCTAAGCTTGTTCTGACATTGGCTATAACGCCCCCTAATGCCACATCCTCTTCTAAATCCTGCTTGCACATCTGGCAGTTCTTTGTCAATATACTGTTCAATTTTTTTTTTTAAATCTTCAGTAGGATCTGAAGATCCGTTTGCATGAGATATTACTGATATTGTTCTATAATTTCCACACTCTGTTGGATCACCTTTTTTTGGAATGGAAATAAATATGGATCTCTTCCAGTCAGTTGGCCAGGTAGTTGTCCTCCAGATTTCTTGGCACAACCTAGTGAGCACGTTCAGGGCTGTATCTGTTTGCTGAACTATCTTATTTGGTATTCCATCAATTCCTGGGGCTTTATCTTTTGCCAATTCCTTCAGAGCAGCTTGAACTTCCTCCTTCATCACCATTGCTTCTTGATCATATGCTGTTTCCTGAAATTCTTCTGTGTCAGCCAATTCTTTTTGGTACAGTGACTCTGTCTATTCCTTCCATCTTCTTTTGATGCTTCCTGGATCATTCAACATTCTGCCCATAGCATCCTTAAATATTGCAACTCGGGGCTTGAATTTGTTCTTCAGTTCCCTCAGCTTAAGAAATGTGGAGTGAGTTCCACCCTTTGGATTTTCTGACTCCAGTTCTTTGCAGATGCTAGTAAACAGGATACAAAGGTGGAGATAAGACACAAGAATAAACATCGTGCTTACTGTTTTGGAGATTTCTAAGGTATTCACTTAAAACTCAGGCTATTGCCTCTGGGCTATCTCCTAGAAGCATATAGCACAGAGTAGCATCTGTCCATAGGGTTTCCAAATCATAATCTTTCCAGCCCAAATTCATTCAGTTCTTTCTCAAGCTGAACAAACTCAAGAACAAATTCAACTTCAAATTGTAATGCTAAGAGATGAGATGGGCAAAATTTTGAATAATTCAGGAAACATCAAAAGAAGATGGGGGTGGTAAACAATGTATGTGAACTTTTCAAGTAAACCAATATAAAATGAAAATTTTATTTGAAAACCTGAAGTGGAAAGGATACACAGAATTACATGCCAAAAAATAATTGATCGACACAGAAATATTTCAGGAAGGACCATATGACCAAGAGCCAATGATAATGAAGTAAGCAGTTGAAGTTGTACTGAAGGCATTGACAAAAATAAGGTCTCAGAAATCATTGAGATAGGAATTGACATATTTCAACTAAATGAAGTAGTCTTTGCCAGAAAATTTAGAGGAAAACTGCCTGCCCAACTAACCGGAAGAGACCCATATTGGTTCTCATTCCAATGAAAAGTAATTCAACAGAATGTGGAAATTATAAAAAAATCGACCCCAGATGAGATAGATTGATATAGTAACTAGGGAAATGGGGGTTGGTGTGTTGGAATTAGTGAGACTGGCTCAGGACAGGGCAGGCTTTAGAGCTGCTGTACATATGGTGGCTATGAGTTGCAGGTGACTCGAAGGCACATAACAACAGTAATCATTAATATTATAAGCAAGCAAAATATTGCTGAAGGTAATCTAAAAATGGCTAAAATAGTATATTGATAGAAAACTGCCAGAAGTTCAAGCCTGGCTTAGAAGAGGCCATAGCACACCAGGGATATCATTGCCGATGTCAGATGGATCCTGAATGAAAGCAGAGAGTACCAGAAGAATGTCTAAGCTTTACTGCCTATGCAAAGGCATTTGGCTGTGTGGATCATAACAAGTTATGGCTAACATTGTGAAGAATGTGAGTTCCAGAACATTTAAGTGTGCTCATGCAAAAGACCCTATATCTACACCAAGAACAATGTTTACCATCATGTCAGAACCAACCCATAGGTGACCCTCCAGCTGGTTTTCAGAGGCAATTAATCGCACAGGGGGAGATTACCCATCCTTCTCCTGCAGAGCAGCTAGTGGTGGCCTCAAACCACATGCCTTCAGGATTGCAGCACAGCTTCTTGCCACTGCACCACAGTCTACACTCTTGGCACCAGCAGCCAGGAAATTAAAAGACATATTGTGATGAGAGTCTACTGTTAGGGACCTCTGCAAAGTACTGAAGAGCAATGATGTCAGTCTGGAGACTAAGGTGCGCCTGATGCAGGCCATGGTCTTTGCAATCACTTGCTATGCATCAGAGAGCTGGACAACGACTAGGGAGGATAGAAGGAGAGTTGATGCTTTTGAGCAGTGGTGTTGGAGAAGAGTATTGAATATACCATACCCTTCTAAGAGAACAAATAAGTTTGTCCTGGAGAGGGTGAAGCCGGGCTGCTCCTTGGAGGCAAAGATTCTGAAGCTTCGTCGGACATACTTTGGACATGTTGCAAGGAGGGACCAGTCCTTGGAGAAGGATGTCATGCTTGGGAGGGTGGAGGGACAGTGCAGGAAATGAATACTCTGTATGAGGTGAATTGATTCAGTGACTGGAGTAATTGGGGTAGGTGTGTTAGAAACTGTAAGATTGGCACAGGATAAAGCAGGGTTTAGGGCTGTTGCCCATAGGGTCACTATGAGTCACAGGCGTCTCAACAGCACACAACAACAACAACAGACCAAGAAGCTGTTGTCCAAACACAACAAGGAAACATGACATGGTTTAAAATTTAAAAGGTGTGTGTCCAGATTGTATCCTGTCTCCATACCTATTCAATCCATATACTGACCAAATCAGTTCTAGAAACTGGACTCTGTGAAGAAGAATGTTTTATCAGAGGAAGATTCATTAACAGCTTGCATTGTGCAGATGACACAACCTCATTCGCTGAAAGTGAAGAGGATCGAAACACTTACTGCAGGAGATCAAACACTATTCAACATCGGGTAAATAAAAATTCTCACCATCGGACCAATAGGTAACAACATGATCAAGGGGAAAATGACTGAAACTGTCAAAATTTCAGATCCACACCCTTGGTACTAGCAGTCAAGAGATCAGGAGATGCATTGCATTGCGCAAGTTGGCTGTCAGTGACTTCTCCAAATTATTGAGGAGCAATAATGTCAGTTTAAAGACTAAGGTGTGCCTGATTCAGGTTATGATCTTTTCAATTACTTGTTACACTGCTGAGAGCTGGAGAGTGAATATGGATAAAGAAGAAGAATTGATAGCTTTGATCTGTGATGTTGGAGAAGAGTACTGAATAACCCAAATAACATGCCAAAATAATAAACAAATAGGTCTTGAGAAGGTGCAGCCAGAGTGCTCCTTGGAGGCAAGGACGGCAAAGCTTCATCTCTCATACTTTAGGCGTGTTGCTAGGAGAGGATATTCCATAGAGAAGGAAGTTGGAGGGTCAGTGAAAGAGAGGAAGACCCTCAACAAGAGGAAGTGACACAGTGACTGCAGCAATGGGTGCAAGTGTGTCAGAGATGAAGAGGATGCCACTCAATGGCACCCTACAGCAACAATCTTTATGGAAGCAAAAAACCAACTCGGTTTCCCACATAGTAGCTGTAGGTTTGAACCACCAACCTTTTGGTTAGCAGACTAATGCTTTAACAGCCGAGTTGCCTGGGTTCCTTCCTGGGAGTTAGGTTATCACTGATGTGAAACTGTAACTTGTTCAATTGTCTAGTGGACTGGACTGTCTAAAGCAACCACATGGCGACAGAGTGGTGAGACCTGCTTGGAGTCCAGCCAAAAAAGCCAGATTTGGACTGATTGCTGAGACTACAGTTTAGCTGAAGCCCAGAGCCTCTGATCTTCAAAAAATACTAAATGTCACCTCAGATTTACTAGCTGACGACATTGGCCAAAGAGGCCATCTGTTTGCCTTTGCTTCAAGGCAATGCTCACTGATAGGGGTTTTGCTTCCTTGTGTCTAGTTTCCTAAAGCCCAAAGGCTGGGCTGGAAATCCCATCTCTGCATCATGTTCTATGCTGTTAGGGTATCTTCAGCAAGAATTAGGTTTCTATTTCAGGCTGCACACTTAATCCCTGAGGATTCTGACTCAAAGTCAGCCTAGTTTCTATTTCTTGCCTGCTGTTCTCCTGGACACATCTTTACCTAATAAATTGTGTCATTAGGCAATTATATGTGGTTCATTTGTCCTCAAATAGTTTTCCTTCCCTCCAGTTGACTTGTAGGAGTTCTGAAATCCATGGCATTTGCCTGATATATTGCGCCCATATCAATCCCCAAGGTGGTGGATGAAGCCCCACACCTAGGCCCATATCACTAGAACATCACAAGGTGCCATCTTTGAGTTGTTAAATGTGGGAAAACCATACCTTGTTCTTCCCCATGCTGATAGAGGTGCTAAGGTGTCAGGTGAGCTTCCAAAGAAGCAGAGTAAACAAGAAAGCCTTTGTTTTCTTCTACTTTCCCTCTAAAAAAGAAACCCAAAAGACAACTCAGGGCATCATGACATCAGTTTCAACTCAAGGTAACCTCCCATTGGCTCCCAAGGCTGTACCTCTGAACGGGAAGAGACTGGTCATCTTTGTCCTGACATGGTGAATTCAAGCCATCAAACTTTTGAATAACAGCCCGACATTTAACCTATTATGCCCCCATGAAAAGACCAATTCCTAAAAAAAAAGGAGATCATACTTGGTAACGTAGAGGACCAGAGAAGACAAAAGAAATCATCACAGAGATGGAGAGACACATAGCCAGAACGCTGAACCCAACATATCACCAATCAAGTGTATGACACAGGACTAGGAAAGGTTATGTTACACATAAAACCACCAAGTCAGAGCTGATTCAATGACACCTAACTAAAGCAATAACAGACTCCAAGTTGGGAAACATTGGTGATTCAGTGGTAGAATTCTTGCCTTTCATGCAGGAGAATCAAGTTCAATTCCAGGCTAATCCACCTCATGCACAGCTGCTCCAATCTCTCAGTGGAAACTTGTATTTTCATTTTATTGTGATGCTGAACAGGCTGCAGTGAAACTTCCAGACCAGGACAACCTAGTGAAGAAAGCTTGAGAGCTGCTTCTGAAAAAAATCAATCAATGAAAACTCTACGGCATGTGGGTGTGTGTATCTCTCAACAAAATAGATATGTATATATCTCAACAAAATAGATAGGTATATATAAATCAACAAAAATAAACAACTTTCAAAGCACAGAATCTGTGGATAGTAGCAGCAGTCCTACCTGAAATCCTAGCATCCTAACGGGGATGTTACAAGATCATTGTGAATTGAGTCACCAGGAGTCAGAGGTATCTTCTCAGTGCCAACTAACAGCAACAGACCCCAACAGAACAGCTGGTGAGACTTAAAACTCCATGAGACTCTTGTGAACTTGGCTGAGTCCCTACTGCTTCATTCTCTATGTGCCCATAGATCCAACTGACTTCTTCAACTGGCAAGGCCAGGAATGAGACCACAGGCTCCAGTAGCCTCTCCCTGGAACGCCACCTGCAGAGGTGACTCTGTCTCCAATTTTTCCCTCAGCTACCAGAACAGTGTGGGAGGAAGTCCTCCAAATAGTAAGTGGAATCTCACCAGATTCCTTATTCTGATTTCATAGCCACTGAATGAGCAACCGAGGCCAGAGATATGACTTGCCCGAGGTCTCCGAGACCTAACTGAAGAACCCATGGTTAAGCTCAGTTCATCTGGCTCTCCACTACTTACTTCTTTTTCCATGCCACACTGCTTCCCATGTCCAGTCAGCTCTAAATAACCTAGCCCCAAATGTATTTAAAAATAGCACAATCATGTCAGTCCCCCAAAATGTGGTGTTGTTAGGAGCCAACAAGTTGAGCAGAACTCACAGCGACCCTATGGACACCAGATCTGAACCTGTGCCATCTTAACAATCTTTTTTTTTATAAAGTTTCACCATCTTTTTTTAATATAAATTTTTTTAATTTATTTTGTTATTGTGTGTGTGTGTGTGTGTGTACCGTCAAATCGGATCTGACTGGTACAGGAGGAGATTGTTCCTCCTTCTCCAGCAGAGCATCTGGTGGATTCGAACCATGTATCTCCGAGTTTGCAGTTGCAGCTTCTTGCCACTAGGCCACCAGAGCTCGCCCCTAACAATCTTTGACATGCGCAAGTTTGTTATTACAGACATTGTATCAATCCATCTTGTTAAGGAGCTTCTTCTCTTTCACTAACCCTATACCTTTCCTAATACACAGAGAACGACCAGAAGTTCAAGCTGGATTTAGCAGAGGCCGTGGCACCAGGGCTATCATTGCTGTCAGATGAAACCAAAGAATACTAGATGAATGTATATTTGTGTTTATTGTCTGTGCAGAAGCATTTGACTGTGTGGATCATAAAAATTACAGATAGCATTGAGAATAGGAATCCCAGAACACTTAATTATGCTCATATGAAGTTTATACCTAGAGCAAGAGGCTGCTAAGTGAACAGAACAAGGGGACACTAGATGGTTTACAATTAAGAAAGGTGTGAATCAGGGCTTTAGCTTCTCTCCATACTTGCTCACTCTGTATACTGAGCAAATTAGTTGAGCAGCTTGTTTCTAGGAACAATCAAGAACAGAAGAAGAAAACTCAGAATTTTGTGGTATCAAGATCAGAAGAAGAACACTCGGAAGAGAAATGGAGCATCAGGATAGGAGGAAGACTCATCAACAGCTTGCATTACGCAGATGACAACAACCTGGCCTACTGAAAGTGAGGAGGACTTGAAGCATTTGCTACAGAAGATCAAAGAATATACATACAGCCTTTCGTCTGGATTGCACTTCAACCTCAAGAAAACAAAAATTCTCACCACTGATCAATAGGCAACTGCATGATAGATGGAGAAAAGACTGAAATTGTCAACAATTTCATCTTTCTTGAATCCACAATCAACCCCCTTGGTATCAGCAGTATTGATTGGTATCATCAGCAGTATTGGTATCATCAGGAGATGTATTGCACTGGAAAAGTCTGGAGTCAGAGACATCTTCAAATTATTGAGGAGTTTGAGGACTAAGGTACATCTGATTCAGGCCATGGTCCTTTCAGTCACTTGCTATGCCTGTGAGAGCTGGTCAGTGAATAAGAATGATGGAAGAAGTGATACCTTTGAGCTGCAGTGTTGGAGAAGAGTTCTGGATATCTCATGGCACTGCCAAAAGAACAACCAGGTATGACTTGGCAAAAGTATAGCCAGAGTTCTCCTGGGAGGCAAAGATGACAAAATTTCATCTCACATACTTTAGGCATGTTACTAAGAGTGGCTATTCCCTGAGGGGGACATCATGCTTGGAAAGGTGGAGGTTTGGCAGAAAAGAGGAAGACCCTCAACCAGGTGGGTTGACACAGTGACTGTAGCAATGTGCTCAAGTATTTCAGAAATGGTAAGGATGGCCCAGGGTAGAATAGAGTTCGTATGTTTTTCATAGGGTGGTGGTGGGTTGTACTTGCCGCAAGGGCACCTAACAACAATATCTTTATCAGAAGGATGTCTTTGTTCCAAGGACTGCCCACCCTCAAACTATACGCTCAAAGTGTGTGAGATTAAATTTCCCCATCCTTGCCTCTGAGAAGCACCCATGGTTGCACTTCTCCAAGACATGTCTGTCCTTTTGGCAATCTGGGATATCCAGTGCTCTTCTTCAACACCACAATTAAAGGACATCTATTCTTCTGTCCTCCTTATTCATTGTCTAGGATTCAGATGTATAAGAAGCAAATTCAAAGACCATGACTTGTATGAGGTACACCTTAGTCTTTAAAATGACATCATTGCTATTTAGAACTTCAGAGAGGTCTTTTTTTTTTTTTCGAGGTCTTTGACAGCAGATTTTTCCCACTGAGACATGTCTTTTAATTTCTCGGCTGCTGTTAGTAGGGTGCTGATTGTCGATCCACTTCAATCTTTTTTCCAACTATCATGAGATTATCTATTGGTCCAGTGGTGAGGATTTTTGTCTTTTTGATGTAATCCATATTGAAGGCTGTGGTCCTTGATCATCTTTTAGTGAGTGCTTCAAGTCCTCTTCACTTTCAACAAGCGAGGCTGTGTCATCTACATAATGCAATTTGTTGATGAGTCTTCCTCCTAGCCTAATGCTGCATTTCTCTTCATATACTACAAGGTCCCTAATGATTTGCTTAGCATACAGATTGAATAGTAGCCCTGGTAGTTTAGTGGTGAGAAGTTGCACTGAAAACCCAGAGACATGTGGTTCAAATCCATCTGTAGCTTTTGTGGAAATAAGATGAGTAACCTGCTCCCATGTGATTCACTGTCTCTGAAAACTCACTGGAGAGTCAGCTATGAGTCGGTTCAAATTCAACAATACATAACAACAAAAATAACAACAACAGATTACATAGGTACTGAGAAAGGATACAACCCTGACACACAGCTTTCCTGATTTTAAACCGTGCAGTGTTCCCTTGTTCTGTTTGAACTACTTCTTGGTCTAGGTATTGAATCCACATGAGCACAACTATGTGTTCTGGGCTTCCCCCTCGCCGGTTGCTCTGAGGTCTTCTAATTCTCCTTTGTTCTCTGAGTACGGTCTCAATTGTCTTTTGGGTTGCTGTACTCACTCTCAGAGCCCATATGTCACATTTTCAAGAGTCTTACCTGCAGTCACCTCTCCTACCTGACCCTAGGCTTCTTGTGACCTTACCATGCATAAGACGTGGGATTTTCAAGACCTGCTGCATACCATGTGCAGACCACAGTGAGTTTCGTTTACCTCTAGAGCCTTTTCCCCATCACTGCCAGCCTATCATTTCCCCACTACCCCAAAGGTCTGGACTGGGAGTCAGAAAGAAGTGTCTTTGCTTTTAGCTTTTCCTTCTGTAACAGGGCTCTAAACTCCAGGATTTGTGACTCACTACAGCTTTCCTTCCATGAGCCTCTGTTATCTTTCCCTTCCTATACCTTCCGGGAGGGAGCTCTGGTGGCCTAGTGGAAAGAAGCTGTGCTGCAATCTTGAAGGTACGCGGTTCAAATCCACAAGCTGCTCCATGGGAGAAGGATGAGCATTCTCCTCCGGTGTGATTAACTGTCTCTGAAAACCCACTGGAGGGCCAGCTATGGGTCGGTTCTAACTGAGTGATACCAACAACATACCTTTCTGGTAGGGGCTTCCCTTATGTATAGTCACCCACACACCCCCCCAGGAGGTACTTAGCTAATAAGAAGGAGCCCACCAGCTGCTCCATGGAAGAAAAATGTGGCAGTCTGTCTGCATAATTAAAGATTTACAGCTTAGAAAATTCTACGGAGAAATTAAACTCTGTCTTATTGGGTCACTATGAATACGAATTGACTTGATTGTAGCAGATGTGGTTTTTAATTTTTTTTTAATTGTATAGCTAACTAGTCAGCCTTTATGGTGGAAGGAAGAACCCATACATATTAGGAAAATATCCTCACAGTTGGTATCAGTCAGGCATAGCTCTTGATTCAGAACCTGGGAGTGACCAGGAGCTCGGGACTGGGAAGGAAGTGTTTCTGCTTAGAATCCCCTATGTTCTTTTGATCACATGGGTGTAAGCGGATGTCCTCCGGTGGAAACAGGAGATTAGGCCATGGAGATGCCTAAGAAATCCTCTCTTCTTGGTCACTGGGTATGCCCCCAGCATTCGTGTATCGATGGAATGGGGTTGGAAAAGAGCCCCAGGGCAGTGATCATAGGGAAATCCCCTTGTGGACTTCAGTTTCCTTTATGGCAAAATGAGTAAGGAGGACTAGAGAATCTGCAATCTTGTCAAATGTCCTGATTAATCAATTATATACACATCTATGCAGAGGGCAGAGAAATCTGCTTAGCAAGACAGCTCTGCTCAAAGAATTGGCTTCTTTCCTGAAGATTCAGTGGGTGGACACTAGAAACATCAATCCTCACCGTATTGGAGGTGCATGAAAGTGTAGATTCACGGGAATTTCCAATTGATTGGATGCCAGATGAATTGGGTTTTGCAGCAGTAAGGTACTTCAAATTATCCTTTCTTTACTCTCTCCTGGAACTATATTAAAAAAGAAATTGATGAAATTTGTGTTGGTAGATCAATTTGCAAGTTGTACCTGAAAGACCAATTTTCATTCTCCTAGTCTGGATATTTTAAAAATTTTACGTATCTGCACTCAAAGAAACCCCAAACCCAATGCTACTGCTTCGATTCTGCATCACCGGGTTTCCAAGGCTGTAGAGCAGTTGGTGGATTCAAACCACAGACCTTGAATGCTATTACCAGACCTGTAAGTTACACAATACCCCACCAGGGCTCTTTGTAACAGCTATAGCAACAAAACTAAAATATTATTAAATCATTCTCTGAAGGGGCAATATTGTGAAGCCTCTCTGTGGAAAAAAAAAAGCACTTAAAATGATCTTTAACTGATTGGAATGTTCGACGAGTAAAACCTATTCACAATGACCATCTTACTCATTTGGAGATTTTTCTTTTGCTGTGGCAAAACAGAGTTACAAACT